AGCCAGACTTCCTGCCTAGCCGCACAGCCTCCGCTAAGCTCCGCGCGACATGGCTCGGCCACGCCTGCTACTACGTCGAGTTTCCCTCCGGGCTGCGTGTGCTGTTCGACCCTGTCTTCGAGGACCGCTGCTCGCCCTTCACCTTCTTAGGTCCCAAGCGATATACTCCGAAGCCCTGCGACCTCGCTGATATTCCCTTCGTCGACGCAGTTCTCATCAGCCACAGTCACTACGACCACCTCTCCCACGAGTCCGTTCTCACGATCCAGAAGCACAACCCGAAAGCCCACTTCTTTGTTGGCATGGGTTTGGAGTCGTGGTTCAAGAAGGCCGGCCTGAAGAATGTGACGGAGTTGGATTGGTGGGAGGATGCGGAAATCACATTGACCGTCGAGAAAGGTACGGCTGACGAGCCCGAGACTATCACCGCCCAAGTATCGTGCCTCCCTTGCCAGCACACATCCGCCCGCACACCGTTCGACAAGGACGAGACCTTGTGGGCTTCGTGGGGTGTCAAATCAGGCGCCAAGTCCGTCTGGTTCGGAGGTGATACTGGGTACCGCGCCGTGCCGTACGTTCCCCCGAGTGTCGACGACTACGGCCCGGAATTCGCCTCTCTGCCTGTTTGCCCGCAATTCAAACAGATTGGCGAGTTCAGAGGCCCTTTCGATCTTGGTCTGATCCCCATTGGCGCATACTATCCTCGGGTCGCTTTCTCGCCGATGCATGCCAATCCTTTTGACTCGGTCGAGATTTTCCAAGATACAAAGTGCCAGCGCGCCATGGGCATCCATTGGGGAACCTGGGCCCTGACCATGGAGGAAGTCTTGGAGCCGCCCAAGCTTCTTCAGCTGGCTATGAAGCGCAAGGGCCTTCCCGAGAATGGTGTTTTTGACGTTTGCGACATTGGAGAAAGCAAAGATTTCTAACTAAGTCGGAGATGAGAGTCGCAGTGTATACCTGATTAATGCTTTCCTTGCATTGCGAGTTGGCGTTTGATCCTCAAGTCCTGTCAGGAGGACTGGGCTCGTGGTTGCTTTATAAGGAAGAATACCATAGATAGCGTGACAACGGGTGCGAATAAGCACTTGGCTAGTAGTAGACATGATTTTCGTTGCACTGCACCTGTCAGCACCCATACATCCCATGCATTTCTCTCCATTGTGGGCGCAGGGCTTCGCGCCGCGTAGGCCTGGCTTGTTGTGTGCGACTTTTATGTAGTTGTCATCGTCATACTGGTCGAGTCAGTTTCTTGCTCCAATACCACGAGGTTTAGTAACGACTTCCGGACGAGCGTTTTGTATGCGCTTGGCGCTCTCACACATTGATTCAGACGGAAGACAGGCATCTCGTCTCGAAAATAGAGTACTATTCTGCATGGCCTGATTGTTCGGCAACTTGATATAGCTTTACGGGAGTCTTCGACCCCAACGCCTTTTCCCACCGCTGCCACCAATGCTGAGGTGTCGTCTAACCCGGACCAGGGCTCCGCGCAACGCCGAATAATGCGAATCAACATAGGAGAATTTTCAACCTGATTGAAACAGGGCCTTGTCCTGACTATCCCATCCAAAGTTCACATTACACATGATTGACCCCACACAGACTTCACACGTGGTCGGCCAAAGGGGGTTTAGAGAAGATCAAGAGATGAACAGAAAAGGAACGGGCAATCAAAACATTCTACTCGCCAGCGCCGACACATCATCCGACTGTGCGAGTTGATCAAACGCCTTGACGAGCCCCATTGCTGCACCCGCCGCGGCACCGCCCACAACAACCATCTCCAGGCCACCGACGACGGCCTGCCGCACAGCGCGGAAGCCTTGCCAGCCGGAGACGATGCAAGTTTTGACGTAACCAAAGGCGAAGAGAGCGACAGCCATAACGGCGACGGATACGTAGAGGGCGAGATAGACGTCCTCGGAGGGAACGAAGAAATAGGGGAACAGGGGAACAAGACCGCCCAGAAGGTAGCCGGCAGCAATGGTCAACGCCGAGACGAAGGCACGGTTCGAGGCGGGTTCTTGTTCGCAATGATGGAACTGCATGAGGAAGTCGATGAGACGGGGCGAAGTCGAGAGATGGTCCGTCACCTCCTCAAGAGTGTGTTTAGGGAGGTCGTAGGGTTCGAGAACTTCCCGGACCTGAGCGCGGGCGAGGTTCGGATCATCTTGTGTCAGGCGAGTACACTCGTTGAGGGTTTCCTTGTAGGAAGCGCTGTGGAAAGACAACGTCAGCATCATGTAGGAAGAGGAATGGACATCGTCCTTAGACAACAGACCGGGGGAGAGCAGGGACTCACGCTTCGCTTTTGGCTCCGAGATAACCACCTAAACCCATGGAGATGGCCCCGGCAATCAGCTCGGCCATACCTCCGAAGATGACAACCTTGGTCTGGCCTAGCGCAGACAGACCAGCTGTAAGAGCGAATGGCACCGTCAAGCCGTCAGACAGACCAATAGTAGCATCGGAGATGACACGGGCATCGATGCGGAAGCGGCGAGAGTCGCTCTCGGAGGCTGTGGAGGTCGTAGATGTGATTGTCGCCATCGTCGCCGTCGATGCTGTCCTGGCACCCAGCAGGGGCTGTCTCTCAAGATCCCCCTCGGTGATAGTATCGTCTGAGCATGTGCTCTCTGCGCGCTCGTTCACCGGTTTGCGGGCGGGAGCCTGTGTGCGCCCGAACAGGAGGTTTTTCAGAGTGACGAGACCCATGATGAAGCTTCGATCGGCTATCTTTGGCCTGCTCCCGAGAGCGTCCTGAGAGAAGGAGGTCTTGAAGCCAGAGAGTCCAATAACTCTACTCTCCGTCAGATCCTCAGGGATCGAGGCCTGTCTCTTCCGTCAAGGAAGCAAGATGATGGACTCTTTGAATTTATTGTCCGCCTGGGGTAACACCAAATGCTGGCGGCGTCGAGGAGAAAATCTGGGGTAATAAGACAGGCGGAAAGGCTGACTTGTTTGTTTTCTTTTCTATGCCTTGCTTAGATCTTGCCTGGGGTGTGTGGTCGCGAGTGGTGATCTAGGCAAGTGCCAATGATTTGAGACGAGACAGGCTTCAGGTGTCTTTAATAATAAAAGTCACATTCCCATGCTATGTGCTTTCCTTAAGCTTCGCTACCTGGGTGGGATATAAAGAAAAACCAGAAGAACCCGGGCAACGAACTGGTAACTTCCTAGCCCCCTGGCAAGCTAGCAGAAGACGAGCTTGGCCCTTTCACTCACAGACGATTCTTTGGTCTCTTGTTCGTCGACAGGCCTCTCAATGAGACCCTCGGACCCATCGAGGACCTGGGACCTGGGCCTGGTCGTCCCCCATCTGCAGGGCTTGGTGGACACCGGGTTACCCTTCAGACGAGTAAGCAGCATTAAACATCCCCTGATTGGCTTGGCTGGTTCTCCAATCAGAATCCTAAGAACGACGATTGGCTCGGGAGCGCCCCCCAGCTTCCTCCCACCCCTGTCCTCCGTCACCACAGGCTGCTTTCTCGGGAGCAGACTCGGGGGTCTGCGCTGCGCTTGCGCAGGGCTCGCACGAAGGTTCTGTCAAGTTACCCCTTTTGGCGTCTGTAGAAGCATGTTGCCTCCCACTGATTGGCCTGCCCAACCCTCCGACCCTCCGACCCTCCGGGAGGCCACGGACGGCGTCCCGGCGTGTACTTTTTTATGGTAGCCCCCGTTCGGTATTGGTGCCGAGAGACCAGCAGGCCTGAAAAGCTCCAGAGTGCAAAGATTTCAATGGATGTCGGAGGAGGAAACAAGCAGAAAAATTTAGCGACCGCTGAGCAGGGCTGCCGTCTCGATGTCCGACTCCCACGCAGCTCCGCTCGGGGCTCGGCGCGGTGAATAGAAGTGCGGACATGCTTGACTGGCTCACGACCGAAGGCAAACACAAAAACGGCCTTGCACATACATACAGACCCTGCAGGCTGTCGGCCGTTAAGACCGTCTCCGTCTTCTCCGACGCAAACCTCCGCCCAGATCGAACGCCATCTTGTTACCTGGAGTCCAGGCTTTAGAAGGGCTTCGTCACCCTGGAATGACGTTGCTCCAGAAGAAAGACTGCCCATGATGCAATAAAATTCCTTTGCCTTCTTCACCATCGTCACCTGACATCTGATATCTGATGGAGGTGCATTTTTCCCGATGGACATCCTACGCACCTGGAACAATCAAAACTAGACCCAGACGCGGAATTCGTCTGCATTTCTTCTTGGGGAGACTGCCTATTTTCCTTTTGCCATGGCGACTGTTTTCCTGTGGGCTTGTTTACCCTCTGTTATATTCATCGGCGATATCGGTTTCGTTGCTGTCATTTTCGCCGTCGTCGTCCTCATTACCTCTACCCACTGCCGTTCACAATCGAATCATGGAGTTGTTTTCATTATTGAGTAGAGACAGAAAATACAGCCGCGCAGAACAGACCACTTCACCTACACGAGTCTCGCAGTTAATGTGCAAATTAGAGCGAGTCGGCATTGCCATGTGCTTGATTGCTGCTGCTGCTGCTGCTGCTGCTGCGCTTTGACGTCGCAACATTCAGTTGCTACCGGCCATGTCCCTGTGGACAAAGTTTCAATAGCACGCTTTAGCATTTCGCGGGACGCTTCCTGTGTTTTGTCTGAATCGGCCTGCGCTCCAAACTTGGATCCCCCAGAGTAAAAACCTGATGAACGGTCCTGGCCCACGGGGATGAAAATGACCATGTTGAACCATAGCTACGTCTTACACAAACCCATTTAAGTCCTGCCTGGGCCCAGGCGGGTCGGCGCGAAACTTCGGCTCCGACTCTGGTTGGACGCGAGCTAGGGTGTCATCTCAGTCGGGTGAACCGTTCGCCACCTGCTATTCCGTAATAATGATCCTCGTCCTGCCCTTCTCATTATAAAACATCCGGAAATCCCACCGAATACACACATGACGTCTTTTGCCTTTTGCAGCAATCACCGCCGTCCGCAAACTCACGCTCTTTGTCGCAACGCGTCTTCAACATCATCATGGGTCTTCCCCTCAAGCTTGGCGTTCCCAGCGTCCCTGAAGAGTCTTCTTCTCAGCAGCAGTCAAGCCAGCCGGCTGCAGCCCGAAGTCAAGAGGCGTCGCAGACGGCCACCGGGGCAGGCGCAAACACCGGGGCCGGCACCATACGTCCCAAGACGGAAGCTGAGCTCGAAGCCGATCGAGTTTATGAAGAGGCTATGGAGGAGGAATATGCCAAGAGAGATGGTGGCTCATGAAGTATGTGTCGCCGGTAGCTTAGGCTAGAGATGGCTTCAAGGAAATCCTGTACCTGTATTGCTGTTGGGTATTCATGTCGACTAGTCATATTACACCCCTGTTCATGATGTCTATCTGTTTACTGGCCTGCCGCTTCTTTCTGTCAACACCCGCACGCATGCTAAGCCACAGAGAATGGGTGGGCCTCCGTGTTGAACACGAACTTGTTGTCCGCCACATCTACCTGCACTTTCGCATCCGTGGCTTGGATCAAGTAGCTGTACTTCATTACCTCTGCGAACCAGAAGCTCTCCTGGAAGTCATCGAAGGACCCTCCCCTGGGATCGTTCACATTCGTGATGGATGAGAAACCACTTCCGGCGCTGCAAGTCTTGTTGATGGCAAGGAAAGCGTCCCAGGCCCAATCCTGATATTTGGAATCTCCAGTAGCACGGTAGGCGTAGTAGTAGCTCTCAATGACTTCTGGTCGAAGCACATACGAACCACCATCACTTCTGATCCAAAATCCGGCTCGGTTGTAAAAATCCGTGTCGTTGGCGGGTGGTTGCGGGTTCAAGGTGGTATTGATGCCGGGCTTGTCCTCAAACCAACGGAAGACTTCAGGTCCGATGCGGGTGGCCGTCTGCTTGTACGTCTCACGGCAAGCCTCCGTTAGCTTGATACCGAAATCGACGTACTTCTGTTCTTTGAGAACGAGACCTCCCAAAATGAAGTTTCCTCCATCAAAGCAAGCCACTATCGGAAAGATCAGCAATAGTTGCCATCGATCGGGTCGAGAAACTCACAGTGTGTCGAAACAAATCTCAGCTGGGCGTTGGTGTAGGCAGCCAAGAACGTCAAGTCAGGACGCGTTGACGGGTTTGAAGCTAAAAACTTGATTGAAGAGTCGGCGGCGGCAATCCAGCGGTCCTTGTAGAGCGAGAAGCGCTTTTGGTCATACACCCACATCTTGATGAGATACTCGTAGAAGCTGTCGGTACCACCATTCCACCCTCCACTACGGTCAGCGAATGTTCCATTGGAGATGAAGACATCCGTGCCTAGCAGGCCAGGAAACACCTCTTCATTGGGCTTCAGCAGATAGTCCTCGCCGCGCTGAGACAAGTTGGCGTATTGTGTGTCACCTGTGAGATCGCTGAGCCGAGTCCACTCTAGGACGAGTGTACCGATGGTCGCAATGCCGTTGGTGCTAGAACCGTTCTTGCGAGGCTTCGGATCGTAGACAAGGATGTTGTCCGGAACCCCAGAGGGGGTATCAAATGCCACCTTGAGGTTGTCCGCAAGTTTCTTCGCCTGGGTGAGCAGCGCATCCACACCTGCTGAGTTGGAAGCAACGTCCTTCAGAACGCCCTTCAGCATGTCGTGCCCTGGACTTTCAGTTAGCTGAGGACCACTCGAGTGGTGATTGTAGAGCTCGGATTTACCTGACAGCAGACCACCCAGATATCGGATGGTTGTTTCGAAAACCGATACTTCGGTGGATGTCACATCAAAGTTGATTGTCGGCACGAAATCCAGAATTTGCCCAACGATATCTTTGTTCTCCATGATGATGGCCGTACTCAAAGCATCAACCGCACTGGCACCCCATCCGTTTCTACAGCAGACGTATCAGCAACAGTCTTGCGCAGGACTGAGCGCGAGACTTACCGGTCATTTTCAAATGTGTTGGAGACCGGCTTCAGAGTGTCATTCGGGAACGCAAACTTGCGATAGCCATCCCACGAACGTTGGAAAGCTTCTTTCACAGCGTTGGCTCTGTCTGGCTGGTTCGTATACTTGGGAGTCGCAGCAGGTTGCACTGAGCCTTGTGGACTGGCCGAGGCTTGGGCAAGAAGCCCGGCGAAGGCCAATATGCTTCCGGAGCGAGAAAGACGCATTGTATCCAAGGGGGGAAGCCTCTGACGGCGAGTGTAGATGATGCCTGGGAACAATCGCAGTAGTAGCCCCGTACGCAAAGTCCAAAGGGACGTCCAAGCCAAGGTGAGGTAGGCAACGGACGAAAGTGAGGAGGTAGGATGCGCAGTGGTTCAGGACCGGGGAAAGAGGGAGTCAAGATATAAGATGCAGGCGGAAAAAGGGAAGCAGCGCCGAAGGATTCATGAGCAGGAGCACGGAAAGTTAATAAAATTTCGAGTGAGTGGCCGGGGCAGGTTGGGATCATGCAACTGCAACTCTCAAGAAATCGGTTGATTCTGGTACACCTCAAGGAGACTGGATAAACTCTGTTTCTCGTCCAGAGTACCCGGACATTGTAATTGTGCCTACCCTTGTCTCAAGGTCTGGACGTTCCGCTGCGCCCCTGCTTCTCCTGCTTCTTCTTCCTGCACGTTGTGGTTTTTGATTGCCAAAGTTCCAATCCCTAGCTAATCAGTCGGGAATTGCTAGCCTGCATGGTGGTGCGTCCCTCCAGTTTCTCTGTGTCGCGCATCAGCCGTTCTTCTCGATGCTACCCACCCCTCAACAGGGCGAGGTTGCACGCAGAGCTCCAGATGAACACGATACATTCGCGTCATCCACGCCAGGGTTGCACTTTGGTAGGGCTGCAAAGCGATTAGAGGGTACTTCGCCATCACGCGAACCAAGTCCGTCGGTTGGCGTACATGACTGGCAGCAACACGCGCAGAGCAGATCTTGCCGAGTTGGTCGCTCGCCCTGAAGTGAGAAAGTCATCAGGCACGGACTTGTTTTGCTGAATCAGGCACGTGCGGAGCAGTAGTTGAGAAAACCCCCTTGCCAGTGCAACCCAAAGCTAAATACAGAGTCGCGTTGCATAGAGGACAAGATCGCAAAAGAAATGCAGGTGAAGGCAGGCCCAGCCTAATGCCCGAGCCTCCGAGCCTCCTACCTCCTGGGGGCCTCGCCATCTGCATCGTCCAGTCGCCATCGCCCCAGCGGGGTCCAGTACAACTCCCAAGGCCCTGGAGTTGCAATTGACTCTGGCCACCTTCTTGGTAATAACGGCGAAGAGACGGGACTGCAGCCACCCACATGCGCCTATTGCCGTTGCACCCGGCGCAACATTGCCGTCTAACGCCAGGCGGCCAGAGCCCTTGGCTGCTAACCTTCTAATGAACATACTGCCAGCTGATTGTTTCTTGGCTTTGACGCATGCTGCGCAACTCTTTTCATGTACGGTAAAGGAGGAGCGACGGCACTAGTTGTTCGCCAGACCAATATTGCAATAGCCTCCGAAATCACCAGTAAGCGGGCGCGGCGTCGCGGTCACGAAAACAACAGTCCGTCCCATGTCAACCACTTGACTTGGTCAGAAGGTGCCATTGGAAGAGACATAAGCGCATCTGTGATGATCATCATCTCCAACTTGGTTGAGTTCGGTGCCTGCGGAAGCCTCCTGGCTCCCCGCATTGGGCGAACAGAATGGAACACCAGACTTCCCCCACCTGCTCCGTGAAACGTTGTGAATGGCGTGGGGTGGTCCCAAGTGGCATCAACATGTCCCGTCCGTAAATGCAGCTCGTCTGCTGACTGGCCCCTCCGTCTAATGAGCAAACGGCAAGTCGATTTCGTTGGCAGCCTGGCCCTGATTGGCTTGACGACGGGTTCAGGGTCATCTTGTCGTCGTGAACGTTATTCTTCGCCTCTCCCGCTCATCGGTTGGCTTGCATTGCAGAGACGCCGCCGCGAGTCAGGATATTTCCTGGTTTAATGCACATGAGGATATCCTCTTGCAACGCTAACAAAATGCGATGGGTGGGTTTCCCTCCAGGTTCGAACCATGCTTGTGTCAGTCGATTAAGCTTTGCCTTGAATATCGGCAACTTGTACGGGCCGTCCTTGAGGCTTTGAATTCGATGGTTCAGCCCTGCTTTCTCAGCTTGGCGAGCGCAGCCGCTACTCCGTCAGGAAGTGCATCTTTTTTGTTACTATGACTGCTAGAATGTTTCGCCCGGGTCTGTGCTTCTGTGTGCGTCTGCGCTGTCTGCTTGGACTCCTCAATGGCAGCTGCAATCATTGCCTCTTCATCATCTTCATCCGGGCCCGGAATGTTCCTTTGGCGCTGTGCAGGCCGTTTCTCCTGGGCGCTTGTCGATTTATCTGTCGCTGGTGAGCCGAGGGAGGAGTCTCTTGTTGACTCCATTTCCCGCAGCGGGACTCTGGCGAGAGGAACGGCTTGGTCGAGTCTTGACACTTGAGCTGGCCTCCCGTTTTCGGTGCTTTCGACCCTTCCCAGCTGGCGTTTGGCGGCTTTCTGGGCTCGGAAAGGTTCCTCTACTGCCTTGATCCATTTGTTTACTTTGATAGCTCCCCATCCAGCAATGATGCCGACCTGCTCCGGATCGGCATTGATGGCATTTTTCAGGCTGCCAAAGTTGCTGACTAGTGCAACGGCGTCGGACTTGTTTACACTTCGTGGGACGGTGACGAATTCGACTAGCTTTTCGGCATAGCTTGAGGCTTGCTGGCCGCGAATGGCGTTGAAATTGGCGTGTTCGTAGGACTTGTAAAGTTCAAGATAGCGTGCAGCTTCTGCTGCTGACCAACATAGGATGATGGTGACGTTGTTCACGAGTGACGTTTTGGAGAGCTCGCGCAAAACTTCTTCATGATTGGGTATGTCGACCATTGTCAGCAAGATACGCAGGTTGTATTTTCCTTGGAGATTCCTTATTCTGGTGTAAATGTACTCGGGGTGGAGGCGATGATATTTCAGGCTGTTTGTGATCAGAAAGATGGCAGCAAGCACGACGTGGAATGCGTATTGGACTAACCTCAAGAACAAAGCGCATGTTGTCAAACCCAAAGCGTAGTCAGCTGCAATGTCACTATATTCCCATGGCATGGACTTCAGGGAGGCGAGCACTGGGTTTCCTCTCTGGCGAGGGGATACCATAATGGCAGAGCCCGACCCTCGCTGGGGCAAGGCTTGCGGCGTTGGTTGAACAACCTTGCCATTGTTGTTATTGTTGGACGGATTGGTCGGCGGCGCCCTGTCTAGAAGTTGCGGTGTCGGCTGCTGGATCTTCTGGGGAATATGCTGCTGTACGCGAGAGCGAGTAGGAGCAGGTTGAGACGGAGGACCTGGGTGTGATCGTGAAGGTCCCGAAGCTGAGGAAGCGAGGGCGGCCAGAAAGTCCTCGTCGGCGCCGAAATCGTCGTCCATGTCCCCCAAAGTTTCGTCTGGATGAGCTGCCGCAATTGAAGTGGCGGATAGAAAACTGTCGGCGGGGCGGGGCAGTTATCTAGGAAGGTAGCTGGTAGAAAAAAGGTCAAGAAAAAAGGTCAAGAATAGTCACGTCACGGCTGATGGCAGAAGTAGACGGCATGCGTCTCCGCCCCGCTAGGTGGCACACAGTAGGGGAAATGGGCCTAGGTAACACTAGGTAAGGTGAGTGGAGGTAGCTGATGTTCGCACGTCCTAGGTCGGCACCGTGGGAGGGGGCCCGGGGCTAGCACCCCAAGGCACCTACCTACCTTGATAGGTACCTCACCTGCTCACTTGGGTGTACATTGACAGCGGGGGCAGCCATTGCAATGAGGTCATCATCAAAAAAAAATTCATGGCTTGAAGAACTCTGGCTCTATGGTATATACTTATTTGTTGGTGTTCTATCTTTCTCGCCTCGCCCAAGAAACCGACAAAATCAAGTATATATTCATCTCCGCGTTAATCACCTGTGCATAGCAATATGCTAGTCCGCGCCTGTCGTTTCATAGTGACTCTGGAAGGAATTCGCGTCGTTTGTGAGCTTGTCGTGTAAAGCGTACAGAGCCGCCAGCCATGTATCGAACATGGGCTCCAAGTGTTGTGCACCTTCTTGATCCTTGACCTGGTCTCTTAACCTTTCATACGCCTCAATCATGACCCATATCTGAAGAGATGAAATATCCTCTCCATTTCCCCGCGGCCGTTCTACCATGGCCGTCGAGAGCTCTCGCGCCAGAAGGTCCGTACAGATTTGCAGGCTAAGGTTATGGTCTGGCGCAGGGAATTCCGAGCTGCGCTGGACGCGGGCTCGGCTTCTTGGTGGTGGAGTTGGTGGTAAGGATGGCGATGACGGTTCGGGAAAGAAAGACATGGGCTTGAAGTATATGGCTTCTTCGTCAAAGGCGACCAAGGTCCCGTCGTCTGACGTCGGAGAGTGTGCCGAGACATGCCGTCGGTGTGTACGGGCCGGCGACTGGTATACGTCTGGTCTCAAGTCCTCCGAGACCTCTCCAGCGCTGCATGTTGACTGCGCCAACGAAGAACTGGTGTACGAGGAATGTCGCGAGGGCGGCGGATCGGATCGCGCATCGGCGCAGATGGAGTTCGAATCCTGCGACTCAATAAGGGCCTGATATTGCTTGGCAATCAGATCAACGCTAGACCTGTCGATTACGACCGCATCTTTGGCACCACGGGTGCTCTCAAGCTGGCCGATGGTGTAGACGGGTGTTTTTGCGCGACGTCTCATACTGGATCTTGTGCTGATGGAAGAAGTTGGCGACGCGAGCGAGCTGTCGAGCGAAGGCCTTGGTTTTGAATTGTTGATGGTGAGATGAGATAATTCTGGGATAAGTTCTGGAACTGTTGCTGAAACAGAAGTGTCGAATGAGACTTTGGGGCGATGGGGCGGACGTTTTTGTGTGCTGCTCGTGCGTAGGTATTCGTGCCATTTGGAGTCGCTAAGATCTGGAGATAACCGCAAGGAAGGTTGGCCGACGGTTCCGGCTTGTTGGGCAACTAGTCCGACGGCGGTGGTAAGTTTATTTGACGCAGATGAGTCGACAGGCGCGGGCCGACGTAGGGACGGGAACTTCTTTCGTAACCTGTTCCGTAGGCGTGGTGGCTCTGACGATTTGATCGAATCCGAGACTGGTGAGACCAGTGACGGCTCTCGTGAGTGGTTCATTCTGTATGATGTGTAGCAGCTGGAATGCAAATGACAGAACGGGATATGTCACCGCCCTGGGCTGGATGAGTGTGGGATGTGGGCGACTGGACTGTTAATAGTTGAAGATGTTGAGAGCGTGGGAAAGTGTTGGCCGAGCTCGTGGATGGATGCAGAAATCAGTTCATAGCTGAAAAAGTCATGAGTCTGTCCAAAAGGCAAATGACGTTCGCCGACGTATGTGAGTGGTGTGTGAGAAAGCATGTCCCATGCACATGTCGGTATGGAGGCGAAGGAAGGATGGATATAGGTGGTGGACAGCAGGAAAGCGAAGACGAACGAAGGCTCAGCAGTGCAGGTATCCGCGCGTACGGATGACAGGACATGCATGTATAATGATGGAGTTGTGTGGATATCCAGGTAAGAAAGCGCAAAACAAGATTTGACGAGAAGAGAGGCTAAGCTCGAGTGCTCACATCAGTCAACCTAGGAAACCGAGTGTGGGCGATGCATCTTTGGCGGACAACGCATAACAGGTGGCTCGACTCGACCTGCTGCAGGGATATGATGACAAGCAGGGAGGCCGCAGGCAAGGCGAAGAAGCTCGCACTGCCTTCGCGAGTATCGGCAGGCCATCGATATGGTGGTCTAGAAGCATGGATAAGCAGCCGAGACATGGTGGATGCATCCTTGTCCCCACGTCATTTTCGCCCACTTGCAGAAGTGACGCGGGGGGAAACAGAGCAAAAAGTGCGTTCGAGGCTCACTTGTCGCCAAGGTTTGCAGGGAAGCAGCTCGTCTGGTGGAGGGGTGAAGACCCCGATCGCGGACAAGGGTATCACTGGATCTCCTTGGTAGACAGAGTTCGCACTCGCCCAAAGAAAAGACAGGACGACCTAGCTCGAAGTCTCTGCAAGATGATGGATGGAGTTGGGACCAGACGAGAAACAAGATGCAAGGCGGCTGGCCGATCAGTGTTGCAGAGCAAACAGCATCACAGACTTCTGACGGCTACCTAGGTTGGGTGAAGAAAGGATAATGGACGGGAAACATTAAGAGTCTTGCGTAGGAATCTGTCGGAGCTGCACAGTGTCTCCCCGGAACCGGCATCAGGTCGATCTGCGGCCTCACTGGTGAAGGTCGGAACACACTCGATTGGCTGATGTCATCAAGACCCTCCCTCGCCTTCTCCGTCTTCTCTGTGAAGTTTCCGTCTTAGGTTCCGTCTTAGATTCCGTCTTCGCCGAGTCATTGCTCCGCTCCGACACCGTCACCGAAGCCAGCGCCACTGGCTCTACAATGTACAGCATGGTAGTTGTGCACCAAGAAGGGCAAACAATCGGAGCTTCTTCCGGCACACGCTCTTGCCCTCGCGGCCTAGACTTGAACGAATCGCTATCTCCAAGACAAGGTTTCGAGGTCTGCCGTTCGCCCGCCTGTTTGCACGGCCTCCCATGTTCGGCCTGCCCAGCAGCCTTTGGAGTCGTGTAGAAGATGGCTCGATTGACAGCTCAACCTTGAGCATAGACTTCTTCTTGGTCTTCTTGGCCTTCCTTAGCACCATGGGATGCCGATGCGAGTGCCAGGACTCTGGTTTCCCATGGCGGGCGTTGCCGTTATTGCGATGTGCTAGCAGCTCAACCCGCCATTTGGCATTAGGTTGGCTTCAACGTGATTTTGGCAGGTCGCGTGCTCGAATGTTGGAGAGCCACTGGAGATGCTCGGCTAGCCCATCAGAGGGGACGTCGGAGATTAACATGCGCACGGCAAACCACGTTGTCTCTGAGGCTCTCACGGCTGTTGTGGTCCTTGATCGTGCAGATGGACTGATGCCAAGTCTACCTTACTTGGAAGCACAAAATCAAGCCAAACTACATTCCTACTTACCTTACCTAGAAGACGAAATATTTTCCCGCAAACTGGTCAGCCATCGACACCCGACGCATCTCCGTGCAGAGGATGCCGAACAAGCGCGGGGCTGGGGAGGGGACGGAAGAATTGTTCCACCAATCAGAGGCAGCCACAGCTGGGAGAGCCAGGGCCGGTTCGCTCTGGCGCTGCCCCCGCGCTGGCAGGCGGCCTTCAGGCCGGGGTTCACAGGTATCTGCGGCCAGAAGCCCCACCAAACAGACCCCACGCACCGTTCTCCACGACCCCTCCGCCGCCGCCTGCCCCTCCACCTCTCTCCCTCCAGCCCATACGACCCAATTCCAGACTTGGGGTAAAGTGTCGTGGTCCCTGCTGGTCACCGGTTGGCTAGGTGGAGGAAATTGCTTCGTAGACACTATATAACTCGAGATTTCTCTCTCCCATTGCCTCAGGGCTTGATCGCTTGCTCTGTTGTTCCTCATCAGCTCCCCTCCTTCATCCTCTCCCATCTCAGCTCTAAGCCGCCATCATGACCGAAATTACCATCACAGGCTGGACCACGCGCGATGTGCGCTTTCCCACATCTCTCGACAAGACCGGCTCTGATGCCATGAACGCCGCTGGTGACTACTCGGCCGCTTACTGCATTCTTGAGACCGACTCCAAATTCTCTGGCCACGGAATGGTACGTCAGAATCATCCCCCCGAATTTCACAGTTGGAGTTGAGGGACGCAACCGCTAACAAGAACTTCTCTGCAGACCTTTACTATCGGACGAGGCAACGACATTGTGTGCAAAGCCATTGACTATCTGGTTGAGCGTATCAAGGGCAAGAAGCTGTCCGAGCTGGTATCCAACTGGGGCCAGACCTGGAGATACCTCGTGAATGACAGCCAGCTGAGATGGATTGGTCCTGAGAAAGGCGTTATTCACCTCGCCCTTGGCTCCGTAGTGAACGCCATCTGGGATCTCTGGGCCAAGGTGCTGGGCAAGCCGGTCTGGCGCATCGTCGCGGACATGACCCCGGAGGAGTTCGTCAGCTGCATTGACTTCCGATACATCACCGACGCCATCACACCCGAGGAGGCCATCCAGCTCCTCAAGGAGCAGGAGCCAACAAAGGCTCAGCGCATCAAGGATGCCGAGAACAGCCGCGCCGTTCCGGCTTACACCACCAGTGCCGGATGGCTTGGTTACGGAGAGGACAAGATGAAGGGCCTGTTGCAGGAGACCCTCGGCAAGGGTTACCGCCACTTCAAGCTCAAGGTCGGCAGCAGTGTCGAACAAGACAAGAGACGTCTGAGCATTGCTCGTGAGGTCATTGGCTACGACAGCGGCAACATCCTCATGGTCGACGCCAACCAGGTCTGGTCTGTGCCTGAGGCCATTGAGTACATGAAGCAGCTCAAAGAGTTCAAGCCGTGGTTCATCGAGGAGCCCACGTCTCCCGATGACATCCTCGGCCACAAGGCCATCCGTGAGGCCCTCAAGCCCTACGGCATCGGTGTTGCCACCGGCGAGATGTGTCAGAACCGCGTTATCTTCAAGCAGCTCCTCATGTCTGGTGCCATTGACATCTGCCAGATTGATGCCTGCCGCATGGGTGGCGTCAACGAGGTCCTCGCGGTCTTGTTGATGGCCAAGAAGTTCAACGTCCCCATCGTCCCTCATTCCGGCGGTGTCGGCCTTCCAGAGTACACCCAGCACCTGAGCACCATCGATTACGTTGTCGTCAGTGGCAAGCTCTCCGTTCTTGAGTATGTCGACCACCTCCACGAGCACTTCCTCCATCCTTCCGTCATCAAGGACGGATACTACCAGACCCCCTTGGAGCCTGGCTATAGTGTCGAAATGAAGGCAGACAGCATGGACAAATTCAGCTACCCTGGTCAGTCTGGCGTCAGCTGGTGGACCAGTGACGAGGCTAGGCCTATCCTCGAGGGTGAGAAGATTTAATTCATCAAGGTCTTGGCACATAAGGCGTCGAATTCAAGGGGTCAAGTTGGCGAATACTTGTCCGCAGGGCAACGATGGCATCCTGCATAGCTCAAGGAAAGACTTTGGCTGTCCATGTGCATCAGGTAAGGCAGATGCACTACCGTGGCATTGAGAAAGGGGTTTGGCGAAGAGAGCCATTCCGCAGGGCAACGATGGCATCCTGCATGGCACAAATCATGCCTTGTGACCATCCCAAATAAGCGATTTCTATCCTTGTTTTTATTTTTTTTAGGAAGATATTACAAAAAGGGGGTTTGGCTAAAGGAGCCATTCCGCAAGGCAACGATGGCATCTTGTATAGCATGAGCGAAGAAGCTCACTATCCCGCAACGATAACGAAATAATGAGCAGGGCCTTTGTGTCCTTAAATGACCCTGGCCTCCTTTTTTTTTTTGTCCTTGCTGGACTGCACCGCCATACATCGTGATGTCAAGCCACACATGGAGGAACGGTGTGGCGCATAAAAGAAACTGCTGTGAATGAAAGGATGGGCTGAGGAGACGTTTCAAAACGCAGGAGGATAGCAACAGACAACCCCTTCTGCCCACAGCGCATGCCGCATGTCAAAACACGGCCTGGACCTTTCGAAGTCTTAGCTCGAGTCGGAGAAGCAGAGAGCTGTAACAGCGGGCTGTTGGATGCCAAAAAAAATCTCCTTTTATTTTCCCTCTCTCTCTTTGCTATTGCTGCTCTTGCGCGCTGATTATCCACTGAATCCCCGCTGAAGGTTGCTCCTGTCCCTGAGCTGAGCTCCAAAGAAGCTTGACCCCGGACGCTCATCCTCCTCCACTTCCGATTTCAAATCTGTACTTTCGGATTCGATCCGACCGCATCTTCACGTTAACCTCAACTCACCTTCTCCCTTCCTTGCTCGTTTTCAGACGGCATCACCGATCCTCGCACAAAATGCCACCGAAACCTAAAGTCTCCGTCGCCGACGACTCCGACGCTTTCACGCCAGAGCGGTTCGAGAAGGAGCTCAAGACATTAGCAGCCAAGGCCAAGGGTGAGACCAAGGGCAAATTCTTCAAGGAGCAGGCTTCCACATACATCAAGACCACCATCCTTCTCACATTGGCGGCTATTTACAGCAATGTCTCTCAGCTGGCGCTTTCTCCCGTCTACGGCTCCATTCCGTCGTCGATATACCATGCGAAGCTCGTCATGGTGGCGTGTTTCTTTGGCTGGTCGGGTAACGTACTTCTGAATCGCACATTGCCTTTCAAGACGGCGAAACTGCTACCTGTCATTGCTCTCATGGTTCCGACAATCCAGTTTTACCTGTACAAAACCAGCGCGACTCTCACGGCGCATTGGGGCCCTTTGGCCACTGAGGCTGTCACCCTGTTTCCTCTGATCTTGGTATCTGTTAGTTGTGTGGCGACTGAACTGGAGAAGGCAGACCTGTCGAAGCTACCCAAGTTTCTGGCCGACGCAGGCCCCGGCCTTGGATCATGGGGACTCTTCAAGTTTATGGAGAAATTGTCGGGAGACTACTTGCAGGCGTATATCGGCAAATCGTTTTTTCAGACCCGCATTGGCCTGGAGGCGTTGCTTGCGGCTGCATACTCCATCTACGCTCCCTCAAAGCTTCTCTTGTTTGCTATTCCGACTGTCCTACACACCGCTGTGCTCAACACCCATGCCCTAACTCCCATGGCAGCTGCCTCGCTTAACAGCACCTTACTGGCAGACGACTGGTTTCTCTTGGACCGTAAAGAATCCATCACCGGATATGTTTCAGTACTCGAGAGTATCAAGGACGGCTATCGGGTGTTGAGATGTGATCACTCGCTGCTAGGCGGTGAATGGGTCAGACACAAAGGGCGTATCCTTGCTGAGCCCATCTACGGCGTTTTCGTCATGCTCGAGGCTGTCCGCCTCGTCAAGACCAAGAATCCCGTGCCTGATAACGAGGCTAAGGCTCTCAACATGTAAGTCGCTATCCGCCAGAGCCAACCCCATTTGAAGTTGACCGAGAGATAGCGGCCTTGGTATCGGTACAACTCCCGGCGCTCTGATTGCCCATGGCATTGATACCACAATTGTTGAGATCGATCCGGTTGTTCACGAGTTTGCCTCCAAGTACTTTGACCTGTCTTCCAACCACACTCCCGTCATTGCGGATGCTGTGAGCTACACTGCAAAGCTCGTCGACGACCCTAGTGCCCGATACGACTACATCGTCCACGACGTCTTCACTGGAGGAGCCGAGCCTGTCCCGTTGTTCACCCTCGAGTTCTTGCAAGGCCTGAACTCCCTTTTGAAGCCTGACGGTGTTATTGCAATCGTAAGTTTCTCTGCTAGTGCATGATGGCCCGCGTTTCTAAACCCACGCAGAACTATGCCGGAGACTTCCTGCATCCGGCGCCCAAGCTTGTCGTCGACACCATCAGGGAGGTTTTCCCGTCGTGCCGCATTTTCCGGGAATCGGAACACCCCAGCAAGAAGAAAATTCAGGAGCAAGGCCAGGACTTCACCAATATGGTCATCTTCTGCAAGAAGACTAGCGGCAAGCTGTTCTTCAGAAAGCCCACCGAGGAAGATTTCCTCGCCAGCCGCAGTCGTCAAGTCTTCCTGCAACCCCGCCATGAGGTCTTGCCCAAGCATTTCCTGGATGGCGACTTCGGTTTGCTGAGAAACAACGCCACTGAACAACTGACCAAGTGGCATGAAAAGAGCGCCCTGGGGCACTGGGAGGTCATGCGTGTCGTGTTGCCCGCGTTTATCTGGGAGAACTGGTGATCACGGCAGTGTCGGTTTGAGTACACTGACAAGATTGCTATATTCACGGATAATGTAGATTGTAAACACCCTGGAAGCTGTACATATGTCTGTGTCGGGGAAAATTGCGGGAGAAAGTACAAAGGTTCACTCATACGGAAGTCACGGTTCTTTGAATATTTCAACTAAACTGATTGTCTGCTCCCCTTCTCGATAGCCCGGTGGCGCTTGTAATTCGCGCATTCTCGTCTACCCTTCAGTGTCTCATGCTTCTCCGGGCCCGCCTCTATTGACCGGAACACGGGCTGCCGCTGATTCAGCAAATTCTCGCGACTCTTCATTGACACTTTTGATAAAGTCGGTGATGTGCAGCGGAGGGTCTACAACATTATAGGGCCCAGACACAGGCTCACCCATTGTTCTATACACAGGCACGACGCCAGTCCAGACTTTGTTGACGACCTCTGCGTCATCTCTGTCATGTTTCTCGTCTCCAGGCGGTCCGAACCTTACCTTGGCACTTCCGGTCTCGATGGCGACTTTGAGCACACTGGTAGATGACAGCTCGGCCTTGTTTGGGGGCACTCTTGTGTTGGACCAAGATCCGGGGATAACGCCGTTGGTAATGAGTTCCATGGCGTACAGCCGTTCGGCCAGATCTTCCACCATTTTAGCATGGCCAAAGAGCACAGAGGAACGGTAGTTGTAGCTGTGAGAGTTGGGAGTCAAGGCCATGACGAGACCATCGAGGTGGCTGGCAGCAACGCAGACGGGCATGCCGTCTGATGGGCCACTACCACGGGACATATTCATCATTCGCGAGGAGACGTAGCCATGAAGATAAAGGTCGAGGACGTCGCCTTCGTCGGCCGACGGTCGAGCGTAAGACCCCATTTGCCCAAGCATTGGTAGGATGCTGGGGAAGGGACTGCTGATATCATTGAAAGAGACGTGCAATATGGGGCTGGTGTTTATGATGCTGTGGATCGTGGAAAGTGCGTATGAAGCTGGGAAGCAATGAGTTGATGACTAAACCACCAAAGCAGATGGGGTCTCACCTCGCGGGCTGTAACGCTTGACAGTGCCAAAAGGCTTCTTCGGATACTCAAGTTCGGTGCGCGGCATGGCAGATATATTGTTAATTACAGAGATGTGGCAAGGTCTGAGACCCCCATCGAAGAACGGGTTTCATTGCGTGTTTATTATATGTTCAGCTTGTACACGTCGTGTAGCGAAGACAGCAGCACCATATGATACCAGGGCTCCTTCGAGCGCCCGCGCGATAAGGCTGTATATCAACTTACGCCCTTTACGCCATGTTGTTGACCCATTGGAAACAATGCCGGTGAGCCTGCCGATCAACCGTGTTCGGGCCCGGCGCCGAAGAGCCAGGCATGCGGAGTAAGCCGATGGGGATGGAAGGAAAGCTGTACGACATAACGCCAAACCGAATGCAGTAGGTCCATCCAGGAAACCCCTAATTACGGTGGCCAGCCGTTCATCCTTCTTTGGATGCTCAGATTACGACCCGTGCATTTGGTCAATTGAAGCGGAGGCGGAATTGCCGCTTGATAACGGGGACGCAAACGGCTGTCACTTTTGCTGGAATGCGAAATTGCACGGCTTTCTGCACATCCCCTGCGCCTCCAAGCGTAGGAAGCGTTAACATTCACGGGATGCATTGGACTCATTTAGCAAACCATGGAAGTGACTCATTGTCTGGAGTTCGTGGTTCCGTGAGCTCGACTCTCGCAGCCGAGAGCCAGCAGAGGCTTCAGAAAGAAAGTCGGACCCGGGCGACGCCTTAGACTGCCCAGACGGGGAGACTGGGAAAGTATAAGTAAGTGATGGAGAGAGAACTGAGTGAAAACCTTGACGCACTGCCGGTGACAAAGTCTAAATCGCCGCTATCTATGGGCGGGGTAATGACGACGCCGATCGAGTTCATCCCCAAACGACAGGGCAGCATTCAGACGGCTTAGATATCATTGGGAATTTGGGTGAAGAATCGTCTGACGGCTCATAAGCCCCGGAAGCACTTCCAAGCCCACCATTTCGGCGGTCAAGCCTTGCCGTAGTCTGCTAGGTCAATGATGGATGAATACTATTACGGATACCTTGCTAGCCAGACAGAAGTTGATGTGCTTTTGGAGGTTTAGGTGGCAGTGATGGAAGATGGAAGATGGAAGTTGGACAAAGTAGAGACACCAATCATGTTCCCAGGTTCCGTTCGGATTTGGTAGCAGCCGAAACGTAGAGCCAACCCGGCGGCCAAAGCTTGTTCGGTGAGGTATTCGTAAGGCAGGTAGGCTGAATAGTATTCGGGAGTCTCTGGGCTGCCCGTCGGGACGGGGACGTGGACGGGAGGCAGGACAGCTTAGTAGGCGGATCGTGCGTGCCTCTGCTGTATGCATCCAATGGCTGCAATGTCTGAGGTGCCCGTTCTTGTTCTCGTGCACAGTGAGCGAGGCACCTAAGGTACCTAAGGTAGGTACGCAGTAAACAGCAGCGGCAGCGGCAGCGGCAGCAGCAGCGGCAGCACGTCAGTAACCGCCGCCGCCCCTCGTGCTGTGGCAGAGCATGCGGCAAGGGAACCCTCGCCAGGGAGATCCGCTACCGAGATGCCAAGAACACCGAAACCCCTGACAAATCTCAGGGACAGCGCTCTTTTCGGAAATGCTTCTTCTATGACCGGGCTGCTAAAATCTTTCCGTTGCGCCCATCTTCCAGACTCAACACCTCAGCCCTTTGCCCAAGCTGCTGCATATTTCCCCTGACTCTACCAGCTTCTTCCTTGTGACCTTCTGCTTATCCTGTCACACCTCGGGCGGGCTGGCCACCTCTGCATGATGCAAACACATGTCACTCCCTCAGACCGAGGATCTCTCTGGCCAGGTTGACTTGGCTATTCGTGCTCCAGCACCTTCGTTGGCAATTATTGGCCGACTCTAGCTGCGTCAAGGCGGTTTCCCTGAGAGCAGAACATGGTCGAGCAACCGCCAGCTGCTACGGATACACTGCAATAGCCCCAAGCTCTCTTTACGCAAAGTCTGACCTTCTGTGTGTTCCGACGGCCCCCAACCTAATAGCGTCCAAAAAGAATAGCAAAACCCAAGGAATACATACCCACCCAACAGAAAAGACGTAGGAGAGGAAAATAGACGAAAAAAAGGGCCCATCTCCCGACACCGACCTCTGGCCGGTCCTCGACCCCTCCACTCCGAACATCGTGGGTTTCGATGCTGAAACAGAGTCGACGCACGCCACGGCGTCCTGGTGGATAAACAAGGTTGCGACCCCTGTCAGCCTTGCAGACAATCCAATCGCACCCCCTGACCACTACCGGCATGAACGACGCATCGAGAGATCTCACACAGCACCCTGCCCAAGGCCGGTTTGAGACCCTCTTGTCCTTTTTTTTCAGCATCTTTACCACTTTGCCCAATTCGCCCCTCTCTTGTCTCTATCGCCTTGGTTGTCCCTGGCTCTGTTCTCGCTTCCTGCTCACCGCGTGCTCCTCCTCTCTGCTTCGTCGCGTCGGACTGGCTTACACACCCCGGTAGGGTAACATCTGGCTGTCTTTTCTGAGAAAAGTGGCCTGCCACTGCGGTCTCTCGAATTGCCCGTCCCTTGCCCATGATACGTCGTCTCTTCTAGGTTCTCCATTCAAGGTGTCGGTACGGGACCAGCGCGGCAACCCATACACAGACACACACACAGACGCCCTCGAGCGAGCCTCCCTGCCTCCCTCCTTCGCACAGCCTGCACACACACCCCAGCTGTCGTCTGTCGGCTACTGTAGTTTCCTTCCCTCTTCGTCTGTGTCCTCCGTTCAAACTCCACTCTCTGCGTCCCCGACAACTTGAGAGAACGGCCGCCAACTGAGAACATTGTGCGCTGGACTCCATCTCAATTTCCTTCATACCATCTATCTGCCACCTCGTGGGGCGTAGCTGGTCATGTTCTCTTCTTCTCAATCATAGGCTGCTACCGTAATTCGACAGCACTTCCATGATGATTCGCTTTCTTTCTTAGATCTTACTTCTTACATTTTCCCATTGACTGGGTTTTCGATTCTATCCCGGCCGGCCCGCGGCGCCGACGACAAACGAAATGTTCATTCCAGGAATTGTCCAGGCCCTCGTTGCCGCCCTCACCTTGTCAGTCGCCCGCCTCTCCGCAAACTTGAAGATGGATGTATATGATGGGGGGGGGGATGGGACGTCGTGAATGACCCTTGAGGGGATAGAAAGAGAGAGGACATCATGGAATGGGAGGACTCGGGATAACGAACAGAGGCTAACCCGCAGTGAATAGTGGCATCGTTCTCAACGCCGCATCCGCCGCCGTCTTTCTTTTCGCAAAGGGCCATGGCTCAAAGATCTTTCGGGACGGCCTGAGGCTGGTCCTCATCACATTCCTTGCTTCCGCAGCCCTGTGGGCTCAAATCGACTTCGCCGCCCTTACTATCGATCCGACCGCGATCTCCGGGTGCCAAGTCGCCGTAATATTTACTACCATTTTCGATCAGTTGGCCCGTTTCGCCATCGACCAATACCTGCTATGGGCCATCAATTCAAACGCCAAAGTGCCGACGGGCGCCATCATCCCCCAGGCCGTCATTGGAACCCGTTTTGTGCTGGGTGCTGTGTTCGTCGGCTTTCAGAAACCACAGATTGCCACCGTCTGTGTGTCCAAGACCGACGTTTTGCCTATCGGTGTTGTCATCATGGTCACGGACTTTCTCATCATCGGTATGCTCGCCTTCAGAGCGAGCTCTCTCGGTCTCATCGCGGAGGCCAAAAGCGGTCAGGATGGTGCTCAGGGTAAAAAGGCCGTACTGTGGATCATGGGTGGACATGCTGCGTGGACTGCAGTGAGTAAAGCTTCGGTTGAGATCATTAAACGCAGATGACTGATGTCATGGTAACAGGGAAGCATTCCTATGCTGTTAGGAGTAGAGTCTATCGAGCTGATCTTCAGAACCGCCCTGCCCGCGACTGCTCTTTCGCTCCTAGTTGGTGAGTGAACTTATCGACGACCTCCGTTCCTCAGCTGACTTCCCCAGGAATCATCACCGGGTTTTCTGATTCTCTTCTTCCTCCCCGCCCCCAGCAGATTACGCACCCTGACGCGCAGTCACCGCGTAACATTAGCTCTAGCAGAGACCTTGGCACGTCCGATTCCGACTACCCGCCAACCCGGTACGAAGATCTCAAGGCCGGTACCATCACCACCGTCACCACCTTCGGACAATCTAGAGAAGCGCCGCGTCCCGATATTCAGGCTGGTGCTGGTGGTTCTTTGCCCATCATTGCCGGCTCCGTACCTGGCCAAGCTGCTATCGGTGTTGGAGGGGTTCCTGTCCAGGGTCAACTCTTCCCTCCCATACGTGCGCAGACGGCCCCTGTCCGAGAAGGCAGAAGGTTGGAAAACGCACCGAAGCCGCAGTACAAGAGAAGCATCTTCGATCGGGGAGGGCCTGGCGCAAGCATCAAGAACGCCATCTCCAATCCGATTCTTCAGGAGAGCGGCGAGCGCAACCCTCTCAACAAGATCGCAACCATCGACCTGGCAACTGCCGCACAAAATGACCGGGAGAAAAGGGACAACGACATGGCAACCATGCAAAGATCGCCGAGCTTGATTGCACAACGCCCCGCCCCTCAACCACCAGCGATCACGCCAGAGGAGGCCCTCAAGCGAGCCCAGAGCATGAAGCGTAAGGAGGTTGGCCCGACATCGCCCCCAGCCGCGCCTCAGCCCCTCAAGTCTGCTGGTTTGATGTCGAATCCTCCAGCGACAACCTCATCCGCTCAGCTCTCTCCAGGAGTCGAGGAACTGAGGCGGAGATCGCCTCGTCAAATGCCGGAGGCTCTTCCACCTAAGGAAGAAACTAGGCCGGTCACGCCGCCTAAGTCGGCAGCTCCCGTAAACTCCGTTTCTCCACCTCGTCCGCCCCGGCCGGAACGTCCCCTCAGTCCCTTTGAGACGATGGAGAGATCTGGCAGTCAAAAAACCATTGATAGGTCAGTTGGTCAAAAAACGATCGACAGGACCGCCAGCCAGAAATCAACATCCACCGCCGTCCGAGCTATGTCTCCACCAACGGCGCTGGTGCCGCC